ACTATCTAACATTGATGAGAGAACATCGACTGGCCGCCTCCTGCATGCCCCGCATTGGGGATTTGGCCCACAACCTGGGCATGTGCCCTGACCAGGAATGGAACCGGCGACCTCTTAGTGCGTGGGTCGATGCTCAACCACTGAGCCACACCAGCCAGGCTATCTTTTTAATTTTTTATTTACTGATTTTTAGAGAGAGAAAGAGAAACATATCCATTTGTTGTTCCATTTATTTATACATTCATTGATTGATTCCTCTATGTGCCCTGCCCTGACCAGGATCAAACCCGAAATTTTGGTGACCAACTAGCTACTTGGCCAGCATGGTTTATCTTTTCTTATTGAGTTATAGGAGTGCTTTATATGTTCTGGATATGAGCTCTGCACTGGTTATATGTATTATAAATGTCTTCCACTCTGTGGCTTTCTTTTTCACTCTCTTAATGATGTCTTCTGATGAACAGAACTTGTTCATTTTAATCTAGTCAAATGTACTATTTTTTCTTTATGGTTAATATTTTTATGCCCTGTTTAAGATACCTTTCCCTGCCCCCACGGTTATGGAAATATTCTTCTATATTATCTTCTACACATTGTCTTGTTTTTCAGACTTATATGTATAGTGTAAGGTAAAGGTCAAGTTTCTTGTTTTCAATTGACATCTGCAATTGTCTCAGTACTGTTTATTGAGACGAACATCCTTTACCCACTGTCTTGAAATATTGCTTTTGCTGTATAAGTGTCCATATAGCTGTGGGTCACTTTTTGGGCTCTCTATTCCATTTCACTGATCAATTTGTCCATCTAATAGCACACCAACTTAATTACTATTGCTTCATAATAAACCTTGATAACTGGTAAGGCAAATCCTCTCACTTTGTTCTTTTTCAAGAGGCTCTTTTGGGCTACAATGCTTCCATATACCTCTTAGAACCAGTTTGTTAGATTGATTAGATTCTTTTAAAGAGCCTGATTAGATTATTTGAAATTGTGGTAAAATATTTGCAACATAAAATTTAGCATTTTAGTCTTTTTTTTTTTTTGGTACGTGCTCCTAGTCCCCGGGAACCGAACCCGGGGCTCTCTGGTCTGCAGGCCGACGCTCCAACCACTGAGCCAAACCGGTCAGAACTTTAGTCATTTTTTTTTTTTTTTTTACCTAAAATATTGTAGTAAGATATCCACAATACAAAATTTACTATTTTATCCTTTTTTTTGGGGGGGGGGGTTAATCCTCACCCAAGGATATTAACCAGCCAGGGCTATTTTATCCATTTTTAAGTGTGTAGTTCAGTGACATTAAGTACATTCACACTGTTGTACAACTATTACCCTATCCATCCCTAGAACATTGTCATCATCCCAAACTAAAACCCTGTCCTCAGTAAACATTAACTCCCCATCCCTCCCCATTTGTAAGACCACATCATGTTTATCTGCCAATGGACACTTGAGTTGTTTCTACCTTTTGGCTACTGTAAGTAATGCCACTGTGAACAGTGGCATACAAATATCCTTTTGAACCTTGATGAGCTTTTGATTAAAATTACATTCAATCTATAGATCAATTCTGGAGAACTGATACCTTTACTATATCAAGTCTTCCTGTTCATGACTATGGGATCTCTGTCCATTCACTTAGTTCTTCTTTAATGTCTTTCAATAAAGTGTTATGATTTTCTTTTTACTTTTTTTTCTTTATTGATATTACAGAGAGAGAGAGGAAGGGAGAGGGAGAGATAGAAACATTGATGAGAGAGAACATCAACTGTCCGCCTCCTGCATGACCCCCCCCCCCTCCTAGGGATCAGGCCCACAACCTGGGCATGTGCCCCGATCGAGAATCAAACTGGTGACCTCTTGGTGCATGGGTCAATGCTCAACCCCTGAGCCACACCGGCTGGGCTGATTTTCTTTATATAAATCTTTCACATCTTTTGTTAGATTGATTCCCAGGTACCTCGTAGCTTTTGTAAATGATGTCGTTTTAAATTATATTTTCGAATTCTTTGTTGTTGGTGTATGCATAGAAATGCAATTCAGTTTTGCACATATTGATCTTGTAACTAGGATACTTTCTAAATCCTTATTTCCAAAAATTTGTCTATAAATTCTATTGGATATTCCATGTAGACAATTCTATCACCAGCAAATATCACCAGTGACAGTTTCTTTCTTTATAATCATTATACCTTTGATTTCCTTTCCTTGTTGTACTGCTCTGGTACCAGTACAGTAGTGAGAGTTGGTATCCTGATTTTGTTTTCTTTTTCTTTTGTTTTCTTTGTTTGTTTATTTATTTATAATTTTTCTTGTGTTCCAGATTTGAAAGGAAATGTTTCCAAAACTTCAAAAATAATATTGCCCTGCCCTGGCCGGTTTGGCTCAGCAGTTAGAGTGTCGGCCTGCAGACCAGAGTTTGATTCCAGCCAAGGGCACGTACCTCAGTTATGGTTCATCTCCAGCCCCAGTTGGGGTCGTGTGGATGGCAACTAGCCGATGTGTCTCTCTCACATCGATGTTTCTCTCCCCCGCCCCCACTCTGAAGATAAATGTAAAAATATCCTTGGGTGAGGATTAAAAATAAATATATCAATCAATCAATCAATCAAGCTCTGGCCGGTTTGGCTCAGCGGTTGGAGCATCAGCCTGAGGACCAGAGAGTCCCAGGTTCGTTCCTGCTAGGGGCATGTACATAAATAAATAAATAAATAAATAAATAAATAAATAAATAAATAAATAAAATAATACTGCCCTGGCTGAATAGCTCAATTGGTTAGAGAATCGTCCTGATATCCCAAGGTTGTGGGTTTGATCCCAGTCAAGGCACATACAAGAATCAACCAATAGCCTTGCTGGTGCTGTTCAGTGGATTGAACATCATCCCATAGACTGAGAGATCCCAGTTCGATTCCCAGTCAGGGCACATGCCCAGGTTGCAGGCTCGATCCCCAGTGGAGGGCATACAGGAGGCAGCTGATCGATGTTTCGCACATTGATGTTTCTCTCTCTTTCTCCCTCTAAAATATCAATAAAAACATTTAAAATTTTTGAACATTTTGTCAGGTGCTTCTTCTGCATCTATTGAAATAATCATATGAGGTCCTGGCCGGGTAGTTCAGTTGGTTAAGAGTGTCGTCTCAATACACCAAAGTTGCAGGTTCAATCCCTGGTCAGGGCACATACAAGAATCAACCAATGAATGCATACCCAAGTGGAACAACAAATCAATATCTCTCTCTGTTCCTTTCTCTATAATTTTTTTTCTTTATTGATTTTAGAGAGAGAGGGAGAGGGAGAGACAGAAACATTGATGATAGAGAACATCAATTGGCCTCCTCCTGCATGCCCCCCACTGGGGATTTGGCCTACAACCTGGGCATGTGCCCTGACCAGGAATAGAACCAGCGACCTCTTGGTGCATGGGTCGATGCTCAACCACTGAGCCTCACCAGCCGGGCGATGTTCCTCTCTCTCTCTCAAATCAATCAATTAAAAAAGTTTTTTTAAAGAAATAATCAGGCCCTGTCTAGTGTCAGGCTCAGTTGATTAGAGCATCATCCTGTACACTGAATGGTTGCAGGTTCAATTCCTAGTCAGGGCACATGCCGGGGTTTCAGGTTTGATCCCCACTAGGGAGTGTGTAGGAGGCAGCTGATCAATGTTCTCTCTCCCTTCCTCTATCTCAAAAATCAATAAAAACATATTAAAAATAAAAACATGCAAAACAATGTTTATATATTTATGATGAGTATGTAGTAAAAACACAAGAACATGAAAATATGCAACATTCTATCATAGGGTATGTTACATTTGCACCTATAAATGCAAACTGGCCTACAGTCCATTTTTACCTATATTTATTTATAGGTGTTTCTTTTTTTACTCTCAAATGATTTTTTTCCCCTTCTGGTTGTTTTTAAAAACTTTATTTTGAAATAATTACACACAGTTGCAGTTCTAATCATCTCTGAATCTTTTTTTTTTTTAATCCTCACCCGAGGATATTTTTCCAGTTTTTGTACAGATAGAGTGGGAGGGAGAGAGAGGAAGGGAGAGGGAGAGAGAGAGAGAAACATCGACGTGAAGGGACACATCGAGTGGCTGCCACCCGCACCAACCAGGGCCGGGGACAAACTGCAACCGAAGTACGTGCCCTTAGCGGGAACCGAACCCGGGTCTCTCCGGACCGCAGGCCGACGCTCTAACCGCTGAGCCAAACTGGCTAGGGCTCATCTCTGAATCTTTTTGCTGGCTCCATCTTTTCAGTTGTTCCATCGTTTATTTCTTTCCAGATTTCTGTTATAGTATTTTCCATATTCTGTCTGACACTGTCAATTTCAGGAGTCTCCTAGGGTTTCAACCTGTTCATGTTTCTGCTGGAGTACAGGACTCCATTTCCTTATGTTTGGTGATCTTTGTGAGGTCTTTTTGGTTAATCTTCATCTTGGATGAAATGAAGGACTACACTGAGCTTGCTCTTCTCTAGAGAGGATTTGCATTCCACTTCCACCAGAAGAGCCACCACCTTGGACCACTTTCGTTCCCACCCAGGGTCCCAAACTCAATCTAGGTGTTCCCCTTCCCATCTCTCACCACAGCACATGTTGCTCATGGAGGTTCTCTGGCCCTTCAGAGCCCTCCTCCATCCTGGGAAGCAGCTGGGAGAGGACTGAATGGCTACTTGTCTTTCCCCACTTTGCTAGCTTTGGGCTTTGATGCGAGTCCATTACCCTTGCTTTGCCTTCTTTGCAAAATGAGATCAATTCCTACTTTCACAAGGTTGTTATGGGGATTACAGCCAGTGACTGAAGTCTCAAGAGCTTGACGCCCATCAGTTCAAGTGCTCTGGATGTGCCAGGGCCCTAAGGATCTAGCCTTCCTGTCCAGCAGGTTACCTTCCATCGTCACTCCTACAGAGAGGCCAGAGGTAAAACAGCACAACACAGATGCTTTATTTATTTTTTACAAAACATGAAAGACCAGCCTCAGGGGGCTCGAGTGATGCCAGGGACACGGAAAGGAAGGAAAAGTTGGTGGGCCCCAGCACAGGGTTACTGGCCAGGTCTCAGTCGCTTGCTGCAGGCTCCACTTCTGGCAAAGGGCTGCTCTTCTGCCTACAGCCCAGGACTGGGCCCTGCCCGAGGCTCCCAGGCCCATGGGAAGCTCAGGCAGAGGAAAGAAGTGCCTAAAGACCATCCCTGATGAGGTGGTGAGCAGATCCAGGCCAATGGCCTTGTGGGCCCCTCCCCAAGCTCCAGCCTAGTCACCCACCCCTTTCAACTACCCTCCCTCCAGACGCCAGCCCTGGGAGAGAACACATGCAGGCAAGAAGGAGGCCACTGCCTAAATTTTTTCCTCCCTTTGTGGCCAAGTGGGAGGAACAGTTGTGACCCTTCAACTGAAAAACCACAGAGGAGCTGGAATGCTCATCAACTAGGAGAGGGCGTCCTTTAAGGGTTATGGAGAAATCTGTCTAAAAAAAAACCCTATTTGAGCTCAAAGCATCAGTCCATTTCCCAGCCCCAGCTGTATGCAAGGACGAGAACTCAAAGGCAGCACTGGGAATCTGGCAGTGGGGGACTGGGTCCCAGAGCTGCCTCTTCCCCGGGCCTCAGTGGGCCTCTCCTAGGACCCCGGGGCGGGCAGGGCAGGGTCTGGGCAGGGCAGGGTCTGGGCAGGGCAGTGCCTATCTCCCAGGCTGTAGGTGGTTGTGTAGCTGCTCCGCCTGGGTCTTCAGGCACTGGAATTCCTCCTGAATGAAGTCAGTCAGGGCTTTGCGCATCTCCACCTGAGGGGAAGGACTGGCGCTGACCTGCAGCCCTCAAGGAGCTTTGCCCAGGGACCCTGAAAAGCTGAGGGGTCAAGGACAGCCAGGGGGAAGCCCAGGGAAACTCACAGTGGACGTATTCTCTGCCCGGAGCCGCTCGAGCACAGGCAGGACACTGAAAGGCTTTCCTATCAGCACGGTGATTTTCTGTGGGGAAACCAGCCACTAGGTGACAAGAACAGGGGGAGTGCCCACAGCCCCAGCCCAGCGGCCCTGGGGAACCGGAAGCGGAGTCTTTCCCTTAACTTGCTAGGTGCTCTCTCTGGCCACTCTCCCTCTTTAGAATGAGGCTCACTGGCATCCAAGAGCCATCCCAGTCCTAGGGTCCATACTCTAGATGCCCTGTCCTGTCCTAACTCCAGGGACCACCCCTGCCATGGCCTGATTTCCTTTGCTCTCCTTTTAGAGGGCTTAGTGCCAGGAAGGCCCTCTCAATGTTGCACTTGGTCCCCCTGCTACAACCTCAAGCTCAGCTCCTCCTGAATCTGGCTTCAGTAATGCTGAGTGGGAGACAAAGGGCAGATGACAGGCAGGCAGGCAGACGAAGGTCAGCAGCCCCTACCTACCTGTCCAAAGCGGGGGAAGTACGGCGGGTTGTTAGGAAGGACATCGTTCATTCCTGCAGCACAGTGAACAGAAGGCTAGAAAGCAGGTGTAGGGTGGAGGTGGAGCAGGGCAGTCCCAGCCCCCACCCTGGACACATTCTCCCTGCCACCCAGTGGAAACTGTCCCAATCATCACCTAGAGAAGCCCATCTCCCTGCCTCCATCCCCAGACTTCAGGCTCACCAACATGCCACAGTGGCAGAATGATGGGGTTGAGATGACACTCAGCAATCAGGCGCCCGATTCCTGCCCCGAGGAGAGGCAAAAACGTTGGCAGAAGCAGTGCTTCAGTGCTAGCCTCCAGGGGGAGCACCCTGCCCTCCCCAGTTCAAACCAGCTCCCCTGCACCAGCCCTTATCTCAGCACCTGTCCCCTTGCTGCTGCAAGCAACACATTCAGCTGCCCCATATACCATGGTCCAACAGAGCCAGAGAGGGCCAGCAGCCCTTACCCCACTTGAAGCGCAGGAACTCGGAGCTCATGTTCACTTTTCCTGAGAGGGGCAGGAGACAGAAGGGAGGCTTTGGAGGGGGGACAGGGCATCTCATTCATAATGTTGGGGGCACCGTGACCCTGCCAGCCCCACTGACCTTCTGGGAAGATGTGCACCCAGTCCCCATGGTTGAGCTTCTCCAAAATAAAGTCCATTCCCTTTTGGTAAACACCATCTCCTGTCAAGAAAAGGCCTCTCCTCATCAGTCACCATTCTTCTGGGGCCCACTCCTTCCCTCTCCCTCAGAATGAAGCAGCAGCTCAGGAACTTCCTCCTCCTTGTTGCACCATCCACACAGACACCCTCCAATAACTCTCCCCCAAACCTGCTCAGCCTCGGCTGCATCACTTCACAGCCCTTGACATCCTTTGTTCAACATCCTTTAAACCTGAGTGCCTATCACCTGCAAGGCAACATCGTGGTCTCAAACTGTCTAAAGTTCTTTTTTTTTTTTATCCTCACCCGAGGACATCTTTCGATATTTTGTTCAGATAGAGTGAGAGGGAGAGAGAGAGAGAGAAGCATCGACGTGAAAGCGACACATCGAGTGGCTGCCACCCACACGACCCAACCAGGGCTGGAGACAAACTGCAACCAAGGTACGTGCCCTTAGCGGGAACCGAACCCGGGTCTCTCCGGACCGCAGGCCGACGCTCTAACCGCTGAGCCAAACCGGCCAGGGCAAACTGTCTAAAGTTCTGAACTTGACAATCCCTCCACTGACCCCTAACCTCACCTTTTGTCTGCTGGTCCCTCCACAGCCTCACCGGCTGAGCCATTCAGGCACAGGGATACACCTGCAGTACAGCCCCTGGCAAAGCCCTGATCCATGCACTGCCTCCCCAGCTAGGCTCCTGTAGGCTTCTTTCTCTTTAGGATGCACCACCCTGGGGTGAGTCCACATCTGTTGCCCCTGGCCCAGAGGGTGCTGCTCCACGTCTATTCATGACTTTCAGCCTCACTTGGGCCCCAGATTCTGGACAGCAACCCTTTCTCAGGGTCTCAGCCAGGCCAGTTCCTACAGCCACTTCTCACAGGCCTCCTAGCCCTGTCTGCACCCTCAGCCTCCTCTGTCCCTCCCTCCTGCTGGCCGCTTCCTCAGAGGACTCTCCCTTGAAAACTAGACTCTCCATTTGATGGGACATATAGTGGTATGAGTTGGGAAAAACTCAAACTTTCTAAACAAAAAAGTGGAGTTGGCCCTGGCTGGTTTGGCTTAATGGTTAGAGCACTGGCCCGCAGACCAATGAGCCACGGGTTCAATTCCAGTCAAGGGCACATACCTGGGTTGCAGTTCATCTTTGGCCCTGGTCGGGGTCATGTGGGAGGCAATCAGTCAATGTGTCCCTCTCATATCGATGTCCTCCCCTCCCCCTCCTTCCCACTCTATCTGAAGATAAATAGAAAAATATCCTCCAGTGAGGATTTTTTAAAATGTGGAATCGAACTGCCCCCAGTGCTAGCAACACTCGCCTTGGAGATGCCCTGAGACCATGACACTGATCACAGGCGGCCCAGAGGTCAGCAACAACACAGACATGGATGCCTAATGCTGCATGCTGGCTTTCAACTTGGAGTCATGTGGAGACAATTCATGACCACACACAGTTAAGAATCTCATCAGCCTTGTCCATATAGTGGACAGAGAAGAGAAAGAGGAGGGTGAAGGAGCAGGGTAAACATCATCTTAGCAAGTAGAAAGTAGATGAGAGTCATCACAGAGGGAGAGACCCACACTGGGATTATCTCAGTCCAATGCACTAAGAAATGGGCTTTTAACCTGTTCTCTGCAAGGCAGGGTCTTTGGAAAGTGCTAGTTAAAGCTCAAGGAGTCTCAATCTAACCCAAATGGGAACTGGCCCAGCAGCTTCCCCAGGGGCTGGAGTTGGAAAGCATGGTGAGAATGGTGGTTTCCCTTCTTGGGATCACGTTACCTGATAGAGGTCCTTCAGAGGCATCGGCTCCTTCTCTACTAAGATCCACTGGTACAACCCAGCCATTCAGCTTGAAGTCGAAGTTTTAAAACAATGCTGTGCTTTTGGAGCAACGCTTCATAATGTTTAGCTTTTGCAAATGCTGTCCTACTCACTTGTAAAGCTTGTGCAAGATTACTCCAATACTTCATGTCATATCATAAGGCCTATGCTTGGGTGGGGAGGGGGGTTGGAACACAGAAGCGAAGTATGCCAGATAGTTCCTTTGCTTTAACACGTTAGATCTTTGCTGTCCATCAAATGTGTTTGATAAAAGGCTTGTCCCTGCCCTGGCCGGTTTGGCTCGGCGGTTAGAGCATTGGCCTGTGGCCCTGGCCAGTTTGGCTCAGCGGTTAGAGCGTCGGCCTGCGGTTCGGAGAGCATTGGCCTGTGGACCAGAGAGTTCCGGGTCCGGTTCCCACTAAGGGCACATACCTCAGTTGCGGTTTGTCCCCGCCCTGGTTGGGGTCCTGTGGATGGCAACCACTCGATGTGTTTCTCTCACATCGATGGTTCTCTCTCTCTCTTCCTCCCTCTTTCCCTCCCACTGTCTGAGAATGAATGCAAAAATGTCCTCAGGTGAGAATAAAAAAATAAATTAAAAAAAAAGGCTTGTCCCTGCCCACTTTCTTTCACTGAAGGCGTTTAAGACTAAGATTTTGCTTTTTGTTTTTAACTTTGCAATAAATCTTAGATGCAGGTCAAAAAGAAGAATGAAACAAGAAGTGGACATGAGCCAAGCAGAAAAAGACAAATACCACATGATCTCACTTATATATGGAATATAATGAACATAACAGTCTGAGGAATAGGGTAGACCCAGAAACACGGAAGTAGGGTACAGACTGACAACCCTCAGAAGAGGGGGTGGTGGGGGGTGGGAAGAGATAAACCACAGAACTTAAATGCATGTATGTATAACCAATTGATATGGACAACAAAGCCAGGGACGGGGCGGGGGGGATGGGGAGGAGGGTGTCAATGGGGTAAAAAACGAGAAACGTATGTAACAAAAATGAAATTAAAAAAAAAAAGAAGTGGACATGGGATGCCTCTGTCTGAGGTTGCAGAAGGGAGGAACTGAGATTCAGGGTTGGGGGTACAAGAGTAGAGTCCCCATCTCTCAGAGCAGGGCATGATAACAACTCCATGGAAACCAACCATGACATTGTGGCCTTTGCTTGTGCTTTAGAGAAATGAGGCAGCTTTCAAAAGCAGCAAAATGAGAAACCATTCTAGGCAGCTGTCTCTAGGGAATAGTCTAAGGCTTTGGAATTGTGGGTGCTGCAGCTTTTCATTTATTTTAGGTTACTTTATTGGATTTTACCATGTTTTACTTTGACCAACAAGAAATAAAAGACTCTCCCTTAACACCTCTAACACCCTTTGGTTATTTATTTTTTTTTTTTACTCCTCACCGAGGATATATTGTTATTGATTTTAGAGAGGAAGGGTGAAAGAGAAACATCAATGTAAGAGAGAAACATCGATCGATTGCCTTCCGCATGCACTCTGACCAGGGATGGAACCTGTAACCTAGGTATGTGCCCTGGCTGGGAATCAAACCCACAACCTTTTGGTGTACGGGATGACACTCCAATAAACTGAACCTCCCAGCCAGGGCCTTGGTTACTTCTTCCTCTCTCTTCATCATAACCAACTGCTGGAAGCAGTGGCCACCCCTGATAACTCCCTTCCCTTATCCCTGTCCAGGGCCCAGAAGCTGCTGCAGCTTTTCTTTTTTCTTTTTTAAAAAATATGTTTTTAGGCCCTGGCCAGTTTGGCTCAGTGGTTGAGCGTCGGCCTGTGGACCAGAGAGTCCCGGGTTTGGTTCCAACTAGGGGCACATACCACCAAAAACAAACAAACAAACAACAACAAATATATATATATATATATATATATATATATATATATATATACACACACACACATACATTATGTTTTTACTTCTGCACAGCAAAAGAAACAACCATCACAATGGAAAGGGAACCCACTGTATGGGAGAACATCACTGCCAATGATACATCAGATAAGGGGTTAATTTCCAAAATATACAGAGTGTTCATACAACTCAACAAAAGGAAGACAAAGAACCCAATTAAAAAATGGGTAGAGGGCGTAAAGAGACACCTCTCCAAACAGGACATACAAATGGCCAAGAGGCATATGGAAAATGTTCAACATCACTAATCATCAGAGAGATGCAAATTAAAACAACAATAAGGTATCACCTCACACCTGTCAGGATGGCTGCCATCAACGAATCATCAAACAACAAATGCTGGCGAGGGTGTGAAGAAAAGGGGACTCTAGTACACTGCTGGTGGGAATGCAGACTGGTTCAGCCACTATGGAAGACAATATGATGTTACCTCAAAAAGTTAAAAATTGAACTACCATTGGACCCAGTGATCCCACTTCTAGGAATATACCCTAAGAATCCTGAAACACCAATCAGAAAGAATATATGTACCCTATGTTCATAGCAGCACTATTTACAATCGCTAAGATCTGGGAACAGCCCAAGTGTCCATCAAGAGATGAGTGGATAAAAATGCTGTGGTACATCTACACAATGGAGTATTATATAGCTGTAAGAAAGAAAGATCTCTTATCCTTTGAGACGACATGGAGAGACCTGGAGAGTATAACCCTAAGCGAAACAAGCCAATCAGAGAAAGACAAATATCACATGATCTCACTTATTTGTGGTATATAATGAACAAAACAAACTGATGAACAAAATAGACTCAGACATAGAAGTAAGGTACAGACTGACAAACCTCAGAAGGGGGGTTCGGGGGGAGAGGAGGGAAGAGATAAAACACAGAACTTATATGCAGGTATGCATAACCATGGACATGGACAACAATGCTGGGGACGGGTGTGGGTGCGGGATTGGGAACAGGGGGTCAATGGAGGAAAAAGGAGAAACATTTGTAACAAAAATAAATTAATTTAAAATAAATAGATAGATAAATAAATAAATAAATAAAAAACACACAATAAAATATGTTTTTAGCTCTGGCCAGTTTGACTCAGCAGTTCAATTCTGGTCAAGGGCACATACCTCGGTTATAGTTTGGTCCCCGGCCCTGGTCTGGGTCGTGTGGGAGGTAACCAGTTGATGTCTCTCTCTCACGTCAAAATCTCTCTCTCTCTCTCCCGCTCTCTCCCACTCTATCTGAAAATAAATGGAAAAAAATACCCTCAGGTGAGGATTAAAAAATAAAATGTTTTTATTGATTTTTTAGAGCTAGAAATCTGAGATATAGCCATTGGCTGCCTCCTGCACGCCTCCTACTGGGGATGGAGCCTGCAGCCCAGGCATGTGCTCTGATCAGGAATCAAACCAGGACCTCTCAGTCCATGGGACAAGACTCAATCCACTGAGCCACACTGGCTGGGTTCCTGCAGCTTTGCTTACTTCCTCTCTGGCCATTGCTTCCTGCTGCCTCAGTGACTTGTCTGTCCTTTTGTGCTCTGAGGTGCTGTCCTGGGCCCCTGCTTTCTCCCTGCTCTTCCCCTCTGCAATCTCACCTTTATGTTTGTGACTTAGTTTGTGGCTGAGTCCCCAGCATCTTTATTCCCAACCCTTCTTTTTTTTTTTTTTTTTTTTTTACATTTTTGCATTTATCTTCAGATAGAGTGGGAGGGAGAGACGGAGGAAGAGAGAGAGAGAAACATCAATGTGAGAGAGACACGAGTGGCTGCCACCCACACAACCCCAACCAGGGCAGGGGACAAACTGGAACCGAGGTACGTGCCCTCAGTGGGAACCGAACCCGGGGCTCTCTGGTCCGCGGGTCGACGCTCTAACCGCTGAGCCAAACCGGCCAGGGCCCAACCGTTCTTTTGAGTTCCAGAACTGTGTACCCCACTGCCTCTGGGACTGCTCTCCTACTTGGGTGACAGGATCCTCAGATGAAGCACACACAAAATGGGATTCACTTCCCCTCCCAACCCCCTCACCCCATACTCCAAGTGGCTCACTATCACCAGGTGTCACCTAGTGTCATCTTTGAGTTCTCTTTTCCTTGTCCCCTCCCACACCCAATCTATCAACAAGTTCCATCAACTCTGCCTCCAGAGCATATCCCAAAGCAGTGCCCTTCTCTGGCTCTCCAGTGACTCCCAGGGGCCCAGCTACAGTTCTCTATCAGGATGGCTGGGACAGTCCCTAATCAGGCTCCCTGCCTCCACCCAGCCCTGCTCCCATCCACCAGCCACTCTGTGACCAGCGTTTTCTCCCTCTCTGAACCACAGATGAAAGTCCATAACTACCCTGATGAGAGAATAGAATCCACAATTCTTAACGTGATTATTCCAGAACCTTCACATTTGGCCTGCAACCTTTTCTACCTTTATCAATTACCTCGCCAGTGCCTGGCATGTGCTTCCTGTGTCTAAAATGCTTTTCCTTTCATATTCTGCCTGGAAAAATTCTACTTCCCCAAAGGAAAGAGCAACCTGGATTTGAATCCTGGTGACCTTAGGCCAGTGGTTTAATCCTTCCAAGCCCCTTTCTTTATGCGGGGAATGGGAACCAAAATGGCCCCTACCTCCTGAGGCTCTTCAGAGGTGCTGAGTAGTGATTCAATGTTACAGACTTCACTCCACAAGCGTGTTTGTTCTCCCTGGAGCCTGCGGCACATGCCACCAGGGAGTCTCTTAGCAAGTCCTCGAGAGAAGGGGCTGTAGATAATGCCTCCTTGACTTCTAATGCCAGAGCTCCAGGTTTGTACAATACTCAGGCAGTTGCAGAGAATTGAGCACTCTCCAAGAAACCATCAGTCCTCCAGCAATAGAGCTGGGCCTCATACTAGTGGGGTAGTGCTCCACGGCTCCCCTTGCTCTCAGGCTGCCTGTCGCAGCTGGGTCCCTCTACTCCCAGTGTTGCCAAACCAGAGGCACTGGTCACCAGGCCCCCTGCCCCAAGAGAGGCCAGAGAAGCCTGCAGAAGCACTTCCCTGCACCCACTGCCCCACCAGCCCCTCCTGGAGGAGTAGCTCACCTCGGCATACAGGCACGCACTTGCCCAAGCTGAAAAAGTGAGAGTGCAGTTCCTTGGTGAAACAGATGTCTGCAGCTGCTGGGGTCCTGGAGTGGGGACAGACACAATCACCCCGGCCTCCCCTGCACCCTACTTCCTGACCATCCCCCCAACATGATGCCTGATATCATCAGCAATGTAGATTGGAGGCACAAGAGGACCTACAGGGCCCCACCCCATGCCCTGCCTGGACTGCTGGACGCCACCTCCTGGGCAGAGCAGCAGGAAGGCAAATCTGGGCAGAGATGGGTGAGGCCTGCCGGGCCCATTGGGAGGGGCCCATTCCTCCTCACCAACGCATCAACTTCAGGTTCCAGATGTGCCGGAGTTTCAGGATACCTAGGGGAGAAGAGGAAAGGTTTCATGCCCCAACTTACCTTGTTCCTAGGGAGCGCCTTTTACCTTTTCCTGTCACACCATTTCAGGGAATGAAGGACAAGGGCAGCAGCACTACCATTTCCCTATGGCCCAAAGTGGCATCTTGCAGACCCTTGGGCTGAACCTCCAAGTTCTTGCTGGCTTCTTGCTCTCTCCCACTCCCCATATCTTATTAGTCACCATGTCTGGTCTACCACCTCCCCAATATATTTTGATGCTGCCTATTCTTTTATCTCTTTCAACAGTTTCACTACCACCACCGTAGTCCAGGCTACTGGAATGCTCTAGAGCAGTGGTTCTCAACCTTCCTAATGCCGTGACCCTTTAATACAGTTCCTCATGTTGTGGTGACCCCCAACCATAAAATTATTTTCATTGCTACTTCATAACTGTAATTTTGCTACTGTTATGTCTTAGGCGACCCCTGTGAAAGGGTCGTTCGACCCCCAAAGGGGTCGCGGCCCACAGGTTGAGTATCGCTGCTCTAGAGCCTCCTTCCTGGCCTCCTGGGATCGGGCTGTGGCACCTCACAGACTATTCTCTGTCCAGCAGCCAAGGTGAGCTCTGAAAGGCTCTGATTTGGCCAGGTGGTTCCCAGTGAGCTCTAGGACACCTCTAACCTCCTGTGTTAGCAGTGAAAGCTCTGGACACCCCTCCACCCAGCCATCCAGGTTACTGGAGCCAAGAAATTCCCTGTGAAGTCAGTAGAGCAGGAACTTCTAGGTGAGGAACCGGGCTCCCAAATAAGGCTGGTTGAAGGGTACAAATCCAGCCTGGGGCAAACCTGGAACCAGGATACAGGTCTCCCAGCCCCTAACCCAGAGTTTCCTTGACAGGTCCTTGGATTTGTTCCCAAGACTCCAAGATTTTGGGGGACCTTCAATGATTTAGAGAACAAAGGGTTCCACAGGCCTGCTGCAACAGAGTCAACTGTCAGACTTTGTCCTGCGGATATTTTCTCATTCCCTCATTCCCTCCAAATTTCAGAGGCCCTCTCCAGATCACCTTTCCTGAGATGCTGAAGGGGTCACAAATCAAATGTTCACCGCAGGGACAGGATGCCCCAGAAACAGTAGTGCCAGAGCTATGTGAGGAGCCCAGTGAGAAGTGAGTTTGTTTTGCTTTTGTTTGGCCCTGTCCGGGGTTCTCTCCCTGCCTCCCTGTACCCAGCACACTGGCCCAGGTACCCCAGAGATGAGGGTCATCCATGCAGGACTGGTGATTGGAGATAGTTATGAGGGGGGTGGCTGGGCCTCGGTTCTCGATGAGCTCATACAGCACCTCCTTGTTGTAGACGGTGAGGTGGTTCATGTACTCTGGTGGAGGGGGAAGAGAAATAATGTGGGGGTCTTGGCCTCCTTCTCCCCTGGGCCCAGGGCTCCCCCCAGCCAAGCCCACTCACTGGTCCAGAAGCAACTGTAGGTGCCCACCAGGCCCATGACGACGCTGCTGGCCAGAGTCCAGGTGACCGGCGGCACCGAGGGGAACGGCCATTTCACATGTAGGGGCATCTCCCCCACACCGCCCCTGGCGGCCCGGCCGCTCCCCTGACACCCGGCAGCCTGTGGGGCCGCTCTAGGTCTGTGTCCTTAACCGCTCCACAGCCCGGTCCCTAACAGGCCCGCGCCACAGACGCGCACCCTGGCTCAGCGCGACAGGGGACTCGACCAAGGTCACCTCGCGGGGCAGGCCAGAGCCTGACCCGGCCCCGCTCTCTCGCCACAGACGAGCCGCCACGGTGATCAGGAGTCGGGGATCGCAGTGAGGAACAAGAGGGGTTGTAGCTGGAAACTGCGCGCCTCACACAACCACCCGCCGAAAAGCGAGCCTGCAAAGGCCCCTCGCTCCTCGGCCGCCTGTCGCAAAACACGCTCGGGACGCTTGACGGCAGCGGGGGCAGTCCTAAGCCTAACCCCGCCCGCCCCGGCGCAGTCTCAGTTCGAGGCCGCCCGCTTGCTGCGTGTCCCTTTTGTCTCAATTCGTCCCCAGAAAAATCTCCTTGGTAACGTGGGTTGCGCAGCAGGATTACCTGACACCACTCAAAGTTGGGGCTAGCAGAGCACTTTTACTTTAGTTTTTTTACTTTAGTTTTATTTTTGTTGAGGTAAAATTCATACAATATAGAATTAACCATTTTATAGTGTTTTATAGCATTTTAAATTATATATTTTATGTATATAATATACACTTTATGTTATATATTATGTACTCTTACGTAATTACAATATTATAGAATTGTACTATCTGTATATATGTATATAACATGTAATGTAATGTGTGATGAATATATATGTAGCAATATATACATAGTATGTATTATAATGTTATATCACTTAATACATTTGCAGTGTTGTCAACCACCACCTCTAACAAGTTGCAAAACATGTTCACACCCAAAAGAAAGCTCTGTACCCTTCAAGAAGTCTGTTTTTTATTTTAAATCATAATCTTATTGATTTAAAATTATTGATGGACTGCAACTAGCCTAATGCTACACCAAACCCAGCTGCACCATGGAACAGAGACTGGACACTGGCTTTGTTTCTAACTCTGCTGAATGCCCAGCTGCACCTCTTCCAGTCCTTGATTAAGGGAAATGAGACTTTAGAAACCAAGGGCTGTAATTCCGCGCAAATAACAATCACTCATCCTCCCATGCAAGTCTCAGAAAATTCTTTTTCTTGAGATATTGTAAGTACCTGACCCTAAGCACCCAGTAGGGAAGGGGATCCTCCACTTTCACTGATGAGTATTCCACTTCCACCAATAACAATAAGAAGGCATGAAGTACTGATTCATACTATAGCATAGATGACATTTTTAAAGATTATGCCAGGTGAAAGAAGCAAGTCACAAAAGACTGCATATATATGATTCCACTGATGAATTGTCCAGAATAGGCAAATCTGTACAAACAGAAAGTAGATTAGTAAGAACTGGGGTGGTGGTGGGAATGGGAAGAGTTTGGAGGAAATGGGGAATGACTGCTAACAGGTTTGAGGTTTCTTTTAGGAGTGATACAATACTAAAAATATTGAATGTACTAAGGGATGAAATGTGTGGTATGTGAAATATATCTCAATAAATCTGTTATTTTTAAAAGAAAAAAAATTTTTTTCAACCTGTTCATCACCACCCCCAATCCTGGCAACAGCAACATTGTCCTGATGACCGCTCTACAAACCAAGAGAGGACCCACCTCCCACCCTCAGACCACATCGGAGTCCCCCAGTTGTTCCAATAGCGACAGTGCCGGACCCCATGCGGTACTGAGCTGTCAGCTCTCTAATCCCCTTCTCTCGGGGACACTTCTTAGTCCGCCCTTGACCTCCACCGCCGTGGCCAGTTCCTGAGCCAACTGTCGCTCACTTTGGGTCTCCAAAGAGCTCAGGAGTGTGCATCCACAATGGAGCCCGGCCCAAGGACATAGAGAGAAGGCTCTAGTCCCCGGGGGTGCCCAGGTTCTCCGCAGGACTCCCCTACGTTGGGCAGGAGCTCCAGCTTTTGCATCTTCCCTTACCAGATGCTACCTGGAGGAGTCCGGGAACCGGGGCTGAGCGCTGGGCCTGGGAGAATGCAGCTCGGGGTTTGTACTTAGGCACCAGCTCCTTCTCGCGGCTCTCGGCACAGGCAACCATTCATTAACCGGTTGCTTCGCTCGATCTCTGTGACTCACAGGTCTGTCATCTGCCTGCAGCCCCGGGCCTCCACCCCCGCCGGGTCTCACGCAGAGGAAAGGCGGGGTCTGGTGGGAAAGTGGGCGGGCGGGTCTGCTGTTCCAAGGCAAGGCTCCAACCCAACTTGCAAGCGCCTGAGCAGAGCCGGGACCAGCCCTGCCTTCCGGGTAGGGTGGCCAGCCTGGCCCGGACGGTAGGGTGGAAAGACAGCCTGTTCCTCTTTTCTCCTCTCTGGTCCGTGCAAGGCAGCTGCTGCCATTCCGTGGGGTGTCTCAATCCGCTTACAGCCAAGGCAGGTGTGTAGACAAGCTGGTCTGTGCAGGTATGGAAGCCCTCTGGGCAGAGGGAGGGACGAAGTTGCCCCCGACCCAGAAGGTGGGGTTAGTGAGAGGGGAAGGAAACCCCAAGGCTAGGCCAAGGCCTAGTGTTGGGGTCCCAGGCTGGGCTTTGGGCTGAGGCCAGGAACAGTCACTCTCTGGTTCTTCTTGTCCTCGACCTTCAGAAGGGTCCTTAGCCCTAGAGCCTCCAAGCCTGCCCTGCCAGCCCAGGGCTTCCCACACACCCACATACACCCCAGAATAGGCACCAGGGCAGGAGACTCAAACTAGCATGAGTGACAGAGCAGGTGACAAGGGAGAAACAGGCATCAAGCCCAGACAGAAGAGTGAAGATGTGCAGAGAAGCCAGGACAGATGAACAGAGAAGAGAGGCCAAGGAAAACAGAGGCAGGTAGAGCCTGAGAAATGCAGACAGTGAGCCCCCAGAAGTAGAGGGACTTATGATATCACCGAATGAGAGCCACAAGAACAGGGTAGATCAAGGAGCTGAGCCCGAAAGAGCAAAGTCTGGGTGAGTCTGAGACAAAAATAAGTCCAGAGAGACCCTCAGGAAGGGGAGGAGGGTTCCAGCTGATAAGGTGAACAGGAAGAGCTCACCAGTGGTGGTAGGGCATGGGAAAGGAGCCCCATCACACACTGCAGTGGGGTGATTTGGTGTATCTGAGATAATTTTAATTTTTTTCTTTTCTTTATTGATTTTTTAGAAAGAGAGGAGGGGAAAGGGAGAGAGAAACATCAATGAGAGAGAACATCGATTGGCCGCCTCCTGCATGCCCCCCACTGGGGATCGGGCCCACAACCCAGGCATGTGCCCTGACTGGGAATCAAACCGGTGACTTCTTGGTGCATGGGTCGATGCTCAACCACTGAGCGGCACTAGCCAGGATATCTGAGATAACTTTAAATGAATATGCCTTGAACCCAGCAACTGCAATGCTGGGAATTTGTCTTTAAGGCAACATCTCACTCCCTGAGTTACCTAACTCAGGTGGTTAGAGCATTGTCCCTACACAGCAAGGTTTCGAGTTTGATCCCTGGTCAGGGCACATATAAAAAGCAACCAGCGAATGCATAAATAAGTAGAACAACAAAATTGTCCCCCCCCCCCTCTCTCTCAAATCAATTTTTAAAATTAAAAAAAAGAGAGCCCTGGCCAGTTTGGCTCAGCGGTTAGAGCATCGGCCTGTGGTCCGGAGAGACCCGGGTTCGGTTCCCGCTAAGGGCATGTACTTCGGTGGCAGTTTGTCCCCAGCCCTGGTTGGTCGTGCGGGTGGCAGCCATTCGATGTGTCCCTTCACGTCAATGTTTCTCTCTCTCTCTCTCCCTTCCTCTCTCTCCCTCCCACTCTATCTGTACAAAAAATGGAAAAATATCCTCGGGTGAGGATAAAAAAATTAAAAAAATAAAAAAATAATAAAAAAATTAAAAAGAGAGAGAGAGATAACATCTCTGAAGGGAAGAGAGAGAGATATTCATGAAGATGGTCCTTCTAGTTAGATGTGGTGAAAAGCTGGGATCAACCCTGAGGTTGAACCCCTGTTCATTGCTGGTGGGAATGTAATTTGGTGCAGTTGCTATGGAAAATAGTACGGTGGTTCCTCAATAAATTAAACATTGAGTTACCATATGGCTCAGCAATTCCACTTCTGGGTATATACCCAAAAGAATTGAAAGGAGGAAACTGAAGAGGTATCTGTACACTCATGTTCATAGCAGCATTACTCACAGTAGCCAAAAGGTGAAAGCAACCCAAGTGTCCATTTATAGAAGAATGGATGAACAAAATGGTCTATCCATACAGTGGAATATTATTCAGCTTTAAAAAGAAGGGAAATTTTGCCCTGGCCAGTTTGGCTCAGCGGTTAGAGCGTCGGCCTGCGGTCCGGAGAGACCCGGGTTCGGTTCCCGCTAAGGGCACGTACTTCGGTTGCAGTTTGTCCCCGGCCCTGGTTGGTCGTGCGGGTGGCAGCCACTCGATGTGTCCCTTCACATCGATGTTTCTCTCTCTCTCTCCCTCCCACTCTATCTGTACAAAAAAAAAAATGGAAAAAATATCCTCGGGTGAGGATAAAAAATAAAAATAAAAAAGAAGGGAAATTTTGTCTTTGCCCATACCACCCTGAAAGCACCCGATCTCATCTGATCTCGGAAGCTAAGCAGGGTTGGGCCTGGTTAGTGCTTGGATGGGAGACTGCCTGGGAATACCGGGTACTGTAGGCTTAAAAAGGGAGGGGAGGAAATTTTGACATGCTACAACATGAAGGAACCTCGAGGGCATTATGCTAAGTGAAATAAGCCAGTTACAAAAGGACAAATAGTGTATGATTCCATTTATGCGGTCCCTGGAGTAGTCAAACTCAGACAGAAAGTAGGGTGGTTGGTGCCAGGGGCTATGGAGGGGAAATGGGGGGGGGGGGTTAGTGTTTAATGTGGACAGTTTTAGTTTGGGAAGATGAAAAAGTTCTGGGGATGGATGGTGGTGATGGTTGCACAATACGAATGTATTTAATGCCACTAAACCGGCTAAGATGTTAAATTCTATGCTATGTGTATTTTACCATAATTAAAAGAATGAGGTCGAGCCCTGGCCGGTTGCTCAGTGGTTGGAGCGTTGGCCTGCAGTCCAGAGAGACCCGGGTTTGGTTCCTGCTAAGGACTTGTGCCTCAGTTGCAGTTTGTCCCCGGCCCTGATTGGTCGTGCAGGTGGCGGCCACTCGATGTGTCCCTTTCACGTCTATGTTTCTCTCTCTCTTTCTCTCTCTCTCTCCCTCCCACTCTATCTGAACAAAAAATGGAAAAAAAATGTCCTCGGGTGAGGATAAAAAAAAAAGAGTTAGGGGTTCGATTCTAGTCAAGGGCATGTACCTCGGTTGCAGTTTAGTCCCCGGCCCTGGTTGGGGTCGTGCGAGAGCCAGCCAGTTGATGTGTCTCTCTCGCATCGATGTTTCTCTCTCTCTCTCTCTCTCTCTCTCCCCCCCTCCCCCTGACTCTGTCTGAAGATAAATGGAAAAATATCCTTGGGTAAGGATTAAAAAAAAAAAAAGAATGAGGTCGAGTCATATGTGCCAATGTCAGAAGGTGAACAACAAAGATAAAAGGCAGGAAATCTGCAACACTGGCAGCTATGGGGGCTGGTGCTGGGCAGCAAGATAATCATCACTTCCTCTGTCCATAACACCATGTCCTCCTGAAACCAGAACCAAGCCCAGCTGGAACTACACCCTGGGGTGACCTGGGTTCCTCCAGAGGGTCCCAGCAGCCGAAACACAGCCATGCACTGCCCAGCTGTGCTCCTGCTCCTGGTTGGTGTGGCTGACGCCTTTCGCATCTGTGCCTTCAACGCCCAGCGGCTGACGCTTACCAAGGTGGCCAGGGAGCATGTGATAGACACCTTAGTTCAGGTAGGTTCATCACTCTAGGGAAGCTGCACTCCTGAGGACCACAAGCCAAAGTCCCCAGTCCTTCCTGACTTGGGGCATGTCCCAGAAATGAGGGGACATCAAGAGACATGGGTGCAGAGACATTGAGCAAGTTCCTTCCCTGTCATTGGCCTGAGTCTCTTCCTCTGTAAAATGGGTATAGTGTGGGTGGGGATGGCACTCAGTTTTCTTCCAGGTCTTTTCTAGTCCCACTGTTCTCTGTGGGCCACAACCAGCACACCATGACACTCTTGCCCCCGTCAGTGGTTAGTGCCAGTTTCTCAGGAACTCCACCCTCGTCCTGGGGCAGCTGACACTGAGTAGGGCCAGCCTTCCTGGTGTTCCTGCAGATCGTGGCTCGCTGTGACATCATGGTGCTGCAGGAGGTGGTTGACCCTTCTGGCAGTGCCATCTCCATCATGCTTCGAGAACTCAACCGGTGAGCCAGGATCTATGGGTCTAATCCAGGGTCCCCTCAAACCTCAGGGTCCCTGACCTTAGGCTCCCCTTTCCTGGCAGATGTGATGGCTCTGGGCCCTACAGCTCCCTGAGCAGCCCCTTGCTGGGGCGCAGCTCGTACATGGAGAAGTATGTGTACATCTACCGGTAAGCACAGATGGTGGCCAGGGCAGACTTGGCGCTTGGCCCGCTGTGAGATGGCTGAGTAGTCCGTCCTAAGGGCTACAGGCCCCTTCCTCCTGGGGCAGCCTTCACCTTCTCATCACACTTTTCCTCCTCAACCATTTTATTATGAGATCTGCCTCTCCTCTACCCTTTCCAGCTTTGGTGTTCACGTGTCCCTACAGCAGGCCTTCTCCATGCACAGATGTTGCCCTCCCACCCGCCTCTCTCCTGTGGAAGCTGCTGGGGCTCAGGGTGTGTCTTGCCCCGTTTGGGAGTGGCTGGCTGTGGCTTCTGGGAAGAGGCTCAGCCAGGGCCTGTTGTGGGCCTCTGGTGGACATGGTTTTCAGAAACAGCCCTGAGATCCTCGGAGGGCAGCCTGAGGGGAGCCCTTTGGGGTCAGGATTAGACCGAGAGGGCAAGGGGGACCGCCAGGGAAAGAGACCTATTTCTTTATATAGATGGAAGTATATAATGTCTAGAGTTCACTCCAAAAATAATGGGGAAACAACGTCCACACAAGAATGCTCATAGCAGCATCACTCATAACACCTCAAAGTGGAAATGACCCAAGTGTCCATCAGCAGATGACTGGATAAATAAAAGGTGGTCTCTCTTGCCCTGGCCGATTTGGCTCAGTGGTTAGAGGATCAGCCTATGGACTGAAGGGTTCTGGGTTCAATTTCCAGTCAAGAGCAGGTACCTGGGTTGTAGGTTTGATCCCCAACCCTGGTCGGGATCATGTGGGAGGCAAGCAATCGATGTGTCTCTCTTACATCAATGTTTCTCTCTCTCCCTCCCACTCTATCTGAACAAAAAAATGGAAAAATGTCCTCGGGTGAGGATAAAAAAAATCAATAGAAAAATATTCTCAGATGAGGATTAACCAAAATAATAATAATAAAAGGTGGTTTCTCTTTGGACTAGTATTCAGCCATTAGAGGGAATGAAATACTGACCCATGCTACAACATGGGTGAACCTTGGAAGCCTATGCTAAGGGAAAGAAGCCAGATATAGAAGACCTCATATTATTTTATTACATTCACATGAAATGTCCAGAATAAGCAGATCTAGAGACAGAAAATAGATGAGTGGCTGCTGGGGGGCTCAGGGGAAGGAGAATGGGAAGTGACTGCTAATGGGTAGTTTCCTTTTGGGGGTGATAAGAATGTTCTAAAATTGATTGTGGTGATGGTTATACAACCTTGTGAATTTTATCTCAATAAAAGTCTAGAAAAAATGCTAGGAAGGCTGTGCCTACATGAAACGAAGCTGCTGGTGGAGGGCCCCTTCCCTGAGTGCCAGCTCTGATGTTGGCACTTGCAAACCAAAATCAGTGATGTGGGGCCCCTGCTTCCCATCCCTTGGCTCACCCAGGTCACACAAGACACAGGTCCTGGATTCCTACGTGTACAATGACAAGGATGACCTCTTTGCCCGGGAGCCCTTTGTGGCCCAGTTCACTTTGCCTAGCAAGGGTAGGAAAGGGAAGAAGGGTGGCCCTGCTATGTGGGAGCGGGTGGGTGGACGGTCTGGCTGGTTCTATTGGGGGCTTGGTCATCCAGAGGAGGCTGGGTGGAGAAGGGCCAGGAGTGGGTGGGAGCCCTCCATCCCTTGGGCCTTGCAGTCCTTCCCAGCGTGGTGTTGATCCCCCTACACACCACGCCGAAGGATGTAGAGAAGGAGCTGAACGCGCTGTATGACGTGTTTCTGGATGTCTCCCAGCACTGGCAGAGCAAGGTAGGGCTGGGCAGAGTGCATGGGAGAGATGGGGGCCAGATGGCAGAATGGCCTGGCCCAACAGCTACTCCCCTCTCCAGGACTTCATCCTGCTTGGGGACTTCAATGCTGACTGTGGTTCACTAGCCAAAAAGCGCCTGAATGAGCTGATGCTGCGGACTCAGGAAGACTTCCACTGGGCGATTGCCGATGGGGAGGATACCACGGTGCGGGCCAGCACCCACTGTGCCTATGACCGCATAGTGCTGCACGGAGAGCGCTGCCAGAGCCTCCTGCGCACTGCAGCTGCCTTCGACTTCCCCAGGAGTTTCCAGCTCACTGAGGAAGAGGTAAAGGGATGAGGCTGGAATGGTCACAGGGAAGTCCCTCAACCCTGACATTTTGTTCCTCTGTCCACCCCCAGGCCCTCAACATCAGCGACCACTACCCTGTGGAGGTGGAGCTGAGCCGGGCAGCACACAAGATCCAGCCCCTCGTCCTGGCCGTACTGTTGCTGCCACTCCTGCTCCCCCAGCTGGGCCTGGTGGCCTGAACCTCATCCCCACCCTGGTCCCTGCTGCCCACAGATTTGATGACTACACTGCCTTCAGGACTCAAACCTCAGCCTCTCCTGTCCTTCTGCCCTGGGGCCAAAGTGACTCCTGAGGGGCTTCAACTGCAGCCCTACTCCATCCCTAGCCCAGCCCTGCCCTGCCCTATTGGACTGTAGCCCTCTGCCTTTTGTTTTGACTTGTGTTCTTTGGTTGGGCCTTTGTCTGGCATTAGAATGTGGAAGCGGTAGGCATGGGCCCTGAGGCTGAAGCCTGGCACCCTTCCCCCAGCTAGTGTCAGGAGTGGAGACACAGCAGGTTCTAGGGCTGGGAGAGAGGCAAATGGCTCAGAAAAGGGAATCACAATGTATGAAAAATTATGACAAAAGGAAACACATTAAAAAGCTAGATTGGAGGGACACGTGTGTAGCAGTTTTGTCAGTGGGCCACCTTTATTGTACATGGGATTCACATGAACCAGTATGAAAATGACAGTAGATACAAGAATGGAGATAAGCAATTCACACACACCCACTTGAACAAAATGGCTGATGCACTTAAACTCATTTGCAATCTAATGAAAATAGCTGCAAACAGCCCTTATGCCAACAGTCAAGCCTATGAGGTGGTCAGTCCACGCACATTCATAGGGTATGGCCCCAGGGAGAGTGGCAACCAAGGCTACAGATGCACAGAACACATATAAACCAGCTATCATGTAATGGCTGTAAGAAATTCCTAACTTTTTAAGCACGATGTTTGCTTTGTGAAGCAATCGTATTAATGATGGTTACCGTGTCCCCTATATTACACATCAGCAAATGGAACAAGCAGATTTCCTTAGGATGTTAGAAGTCACGTAGCAAGTGTGAGGGCATGGACAGGTTGCCAAAAAGGACATGAAGTCAAAGGACCTAGCTAACTCCAGGACCACTCATTTTCAGAGAACAGTGCTCAGTAAACTGCTAGCATTCTAGAAAGGTTGTTCAACTGACATGCCAAGGTTGTGGGTTTAATCACTGGTCAGGGTATGTGGAAGAATTAACCAATGAACGCATGAATGGGTGAAGCAACAAATTGATATGTCGGTCCTTGGTTCTTTAAATCAATCAACTACAAGACATCAGAGCCATTAAGTGCAAGTTGCAATCATGCTTATGGTTTGGGGCTGCACACTACTTGCCCAAAGCTCTCCTTTTGCCAAGCTCTATGGGACACTTCAGAGGGATAACTAGATGACCTGGTCTCCTGGAGGGCTGGTCAAAATATGGCTGTGACTGCCCTGGCTGGTATGATCAGTCAGTCAGGCGTCCTCCCATGCACTGAAAGATTGCTGGTTCCATTCTTGGTCAGGGTACATGCCCAGAATGTGGGCTTTGTCCCAAGTGGGGGACGTGCAGGAGGCAGCCAACTGTTTCAATGCTGAACCCTGGCCGGGGTCCTGTGGGAGGTAATCAATTGATGTTTCCCTCTCCCTTCCTTCCACTCCATCTAAAAAAAGCAATGGGAAAAACACCTGCAGGATAACAAAAAGGCTCTCCATTCCCTGTGAAATTGTTGGCTTGGGACCCATGGGCAAAGATCCACAAGGTAACCTTAAGCTTGTGCCTTTTTTCATCACCCATGGAGGAGCACGGGCACTTTTTATAAAAGCAGCACTTCATGCATTAGGACTAACCATGGCCTGGGCTTTTGAAGCTGCTGTGCTGGGCTTGGTTGTTCACTGACACCAATATGTTGTCAGCTTCTTTGGGAAAGACATAGAACGGTAACCCCGTGATTCCCAAAGGCTTCCCCCATCTCCCATGAATCCAGATGCAAAGACATGGACAGGAAGTAGGATTTATTGGTGGGTGTAAAGAGGGGGCAGCACTGAGACTCTCATGAGTGCAGTGCCCGCCACTTGTCCAGGGGACCACGGTTAGGGATGTATTTGACCCCACAGCCATCTGGGATGAGCCGCTTTTCAGCCACCATGTCTTCAAATTCATCTGCATTAAATTTAGTAAAGCCCCACTTCTTGGAGATGTGGATCTAGGAAAAAACAAAGAATTGTGTCAAGATATTTATGGACGGGGGCAAGGAAAGAACCAAGGCTGAGACACTACTTACCTTCTGGCGGCCAGGAAACTTGAACTTGGCTCTGCGTAGGGCCTCAATCACATGCTCCTTATTCTGCAGCTTGGTCCGGATGGACATGATGACTTGGCCAATGTGGACCCTGGCCACTGTGCCCTGGGGCTTTCCAAAAGCACCCCGCATACCTGTCTGGAGCCTGAAGTGGGGACAGCATGAGTTCAAACATGAGTGTCCACCAGAAAGGGCTGTATCCAAGGTCCCTTAAAGCAACCCATACTAGCAATAGGCTACATACACAACCGAGGATGTTACTGTTTGCAACCATTGCACACCAAGCCCCCACGGGTAAAAGAGCATGGTCGGCTTAATTGGCTGCAGTGAACCCCAAACTAGACAGAATCCCTGCCAAGGTGCTACTGAACTCACCTGAAAGCCCTCCAGTATGCAACTGCCCCAGCAATGTGTTTGCTGGCAGATGGCTGCCGCCAGGTTCAAAGGGACTCCCCTCCACCTGCTACCCAGAGGCTGCTAAGACTTAGGCATGATGCCCTTTTTTGTTAGTTCCTTCTTTACCCTAATACAATAATCAAGCTCAACAGAGGCCCTCAAGTTATGACAAAATACCTGAGACCCAGCTCACCTGTCAGCCCCAGCACAGGACAACATCTTGTTGATGCGGATGACATGAAAGGGGTGGAGCCGCACTCGGATGTGAAAACCATCTTTGCCACAGCTTTTCACCATGTACTTGTTGGCACAAATACGGGCAGCCTCCAGGGCTAATTGGGGGGAAGGAAAGCAGCAGAGTAAGGATGGCACAGCAACCCTTACCATGGTCCTCCCTGGCTCTCAGGGCACATCTGTATTGCCTGGGTAGTTTCACAGAGGCTCATAATTGGGTGTTCTTGATTAATGAGCTGGTAATTCCATTATAGTGAACTCTGGATTTGGCTGGGGAAGCACACAGAAATGGGCATGATCAACAAAGAATCCTGCATCTTACCTTCGGAGGAGAGCTGCTCATATTCATCTGACACCATGTGGCCACAGAGCGGGAACTCATCCACTTTTGCCTTTTTCCGCCCCAGGTCAAAGATGCGGATCTTGGCATCTGAAAAAAACTTGGGTAAGTTGCCTGTGGGGTATCATAGACAACTGAGTCAGTGCAGCCAAACCAGTTGGGGAGCTCTTCCGCAGCAACTTACCAGGGACACCTCTGCAGAAGCGAGACTTTGGGTACGGCTTGTTCTTACAATACCGGTAACTGCAGGGGGGGGGGAAAACCCAGGTTTGCAGGGGTTCACAATGGGCACTTCCAGTGCTCCCTCCAAGACCAAAGGAGGGCTGGGAAACGGGTACAACACAAGTCAATCTGTAAGCTGTCTCCATGTCTGGAAAGTGGCTCTAAAGCAAGACAATCACAACTAGGTGGCCAAAACTTAGAGGACAACCATGTTACGAACATACAGATAAAAACATCTTCCTTAACCCTTTATTAGGCCAATACTTTGAAATGATGTGGGGTTTCCCAGCTAAAAAACATTTCTCACTTCTAGACACTACCTACTACAAGTCTGCCACATGAGTGGCAGTTCATGCCATCCACCTAGACTTTCGGGCACGTGGCATTTCACCTCCAAGCCACGTGAAGGGCTCCAGGCGCCCCCTGCAGGCCACACAAGAATTTAGAGTTCTCACGCACGCAGTCCGGAAATAAGACAGGGATGGCACACAAAGGCCCAGAAGGCATTGAGCCGGAAAAGGCGGCCAATTTCCAGGACAAAGGGTGGGATGTAAGGCGGACGTCGCTTCCAGCCTTAAACTGGCTCAGAAATGCAGTAAAGGGTCAATGCAACACCCCAACAAAATTGTAGGATCGCTTAAAAAGCGGCATCAAGTTTTAGTTTTAAGTTAAAGAACCACATAATATAAACGAAGACCTAAAGCGACCCGGAAAGTATAGGGGAATCCGTTCTCAAAATACAAAAAGCTGCACTAAGGAGGCTCCACCCCACAGTTGCTTTCAGCGGCAAAAACGCAGTTATCGTTCTTCCCAGCAGCGAAACTGCATGGATTCAATACTCACCACCGGGCGGGGCGGCGGCCCATGGCGACACCAGGATCTTCAGTGGCTGCAACGAAAAAGAAAAGTCGAAACAGAAGACGAAGACAAAGATCGAACCAGGGAGAAATGGCAAGGGCACAGCAACAGGCTACAGCCGTCACTACTCACCACGCCGAAGGGAAAGAGGCGCTCCCACGCCTGCGTATGCCTTATATAGACGGTCTATCTTCGCGCGTAGTAACCATAGAGTCCTGGCGAGGGTGGGTAGACGCTCTGTCAGACTTGCAGACCATAGAGGCAATGGCGCTCTGCGCCTGCGTGCGGGCAGCCGGATACATGCGCAGAACGAAAAAGAGGCGGAGCACCTGACCGCTGTGGACAGCTAGCAAATGAGAGCTAGCCACATCAGCACGAAAAACCCTTTTCCAACTTGCCATCTTGGATGTAGAACTCGGCCCGAGGCTTTACTGTAACTATTAAAAATTTTTTTTCCCTAGAGTTGAAAGAAGGGAAGTACCCCTGAATGGGGCTACGCACGTGTTCCAGTGGTTTGCTTTGTCCGGTACACGCTCTCTCTGCGTCCCTCTGCGCTCCAGGCCCGCTGGGGACGCACCATCAGAAGCCTCGGCCTGCATTCCTTTGTCGATGGGGAGGCCGGAGGCAGAGGCCCGCCCCCAAACCTCCATTCCCCGCCGTAACATTGAAGTCCGCAGCTGATGTTTCCTTGATCCCTGCTCTATATCTCCATTACCCGGAGACCTGGGGCGTAGCCTGCTCGAATCCCGGAATAGTCTGCGCTGGCCCACCAGAGAAAGGTTGATGAGGCGACTCCACTGAAACCCAGGGCCCAGGAGACCCCATTAGCACCGTTGGGCCTTCCCTGCCTACCCTGATCCGCCAGAGAAAAGGGACGTTGTGCTCCCCATGGTGATTTGGAGAAGGGGGAAAAGAGGGCTGCGACTGTATGGCAAAGGACACGGTCACTCTGTCTCCATCTCCCCCGAGCCGCAGTCAAGGCCTCTGAGAGCAGCATCCACCTTCCCAAGGCCCAGAATGTGCCCCCATCCTCAACACACACACACACACACACACACACACACACTCTTTGTCAAGCCCACTATGTTCCAGTGCCTCCTGAGTGTGGACGATTCTCTGTAAAGCATGTCTTCACCCCCCCACCCCCATTCACCCCAAGGAACCTAGTATCCAGGGGAGAGGTGGGCAGAGCTGGGGCCAGTCACCCGTGAATGTATTGTCCACCAGAGGTGACTGTCCAAGCTTCCAGAGGTGAGGAAGACAGGAAGTAAAAAGTCTTGACAGGGCTGCCCCTTGAGGGAGAGAATCCTGTTCAAGCATGCCTGTTCTTCACTTTAGTAAATGGCTATAGGTCCCTTAGGGAAGGCTTGGAAAGATTGATGGTGTGCATGTCCAGCAGGGGTGCAGAGGCCTTCCAGGGGACCCAGCCTCCCCTTCCATCAGGGGGCTCTGAGTCTGGAAACTGGGTTAAAGACTGTGACCCTCTACTGTGGCAACTCAAGTCAGGTGTTTGGCTCCCAGACCTAGGATTATATACGTCAAGCAGTGCTGTAGAAGGCTGCCTATTTCCTAGAGACACTGGTCTTTTCAGGGCTTTCAAAGACATAGATGTCCCTCCCTCTAATGGCTCTCAATGCCTCACTGAAAAGCGCTACTTCTGGGCCTTCTTGTGGAACATAGTTGCCGGGGAGTTGGGGGGGGTGGGGGTGGAGTGTTCAGGTTGAATGTTATAAATCTACTCCAAAATTCCTCTCTCCCTGATCCTTTGGATTTCCTCCTTCACTTCATGCCTGGACGGCTCTGGCATCAAAACCCATGAACTGCAGGCCACAAGTGTGTCCAAGTTTCAGTCAGCCAACCAAGTGAGATGCTAGGCTTCTCACCAGCTACGTACACTAACAAATTCAAACTGGAATTCTAGTAAGTGAACCCCTATCAGTGAATCCAGCCCCAACTGAGTGTTATAGCTTACCTCCTTAGTCTTAACATCCTGAAGATCCACTCCACAACTGTTCAAATAGGGTTCAGCTGATAGATATCAGTTGGGGTTGTGCGAGAGGCAACCAATTGATGTGTCTCTCTCACATCATTGTTTCTCTCCCTCCCTCCCTTCCACTCTATCTAAAAAAATCAATGGAAAAAAAATCCTCTGATGAGGATTAACAAAAAAAAAAAAAAAAAAGGAGGGGGGGACATCTGCACTAATACAACAATAAAGATTAGGAAACTAAAAAAAAGATCATTCTCTTTCTCACCCTCCTCGCTTCCTTATGTGCTGGCACAAGGCCTGGGAGATATTCACCTGGGCTCACCCCTGACACCTTCGGTACATACTGATGTGCAACACACATGGTCCAGGAATCTCTGAGCGAGGGAGAAAGCCAGGCTGAAGAACAGAAGGGGGTCAGGCTTGGAGTCCAACATCCTTGATCCACACCCTGCCTTAGACACTTGCTAGCTAGTGATTCAGAACAAACTAATCAACCTTTTTTTGTCCTGTTTTCCTCATTTCCTCATCTGCAATATAGGGATAACACTGCTACCAAACTCCAAAGGTTACCAAGAGGATGGGATGGATGAATCCAGACACATAGCAAACACAGCCATTACTGAAAATTACATGATCTGGCCTCTGACAGTTACACTCTGGGAACATTGACAGGGCTACTCCTGTCTTTTTTTATTATTATTTATTTATTTTTAAATTTGGTTATATATATTTTTAAAATATGTTTTTTATTGATTTTTAGAGAGAAAGGGAGAGGGAGAGAGAATAACTGATTAGCTGCCTTCTGCACGCCCTCTACTGGGAATGGAGCCTGTAACCCAGGAATATGCCCTGACCAGGAATCGAACTAGCAACCTCTTGGTGCATGAGAGGACACTCAACCAACTGAGCCACACCAGCAAGGCCCTGGCCGGTTTGGCTCAGCGGTTGGAGCGTCGGCCTGCGGACCAGAGAGTCCTGGGTCCAGTTCCCGCTAGGGGCATGCACCAAAAAAATAATAAATAAATAAATGTATTTGTAATTTATTTTTTTAATGTATTGCCTTTATAGAGAGAGGAAGATGGGGAGAGAGAGAAAGAGAAACATCATTTTGTTGCTCCAACCATCCAACACATTCACTGGTTGATTCCCACACATACCCTAACTAGGGATTGAACCTGCAACTCTGGCGCATTGGGGCAATGCTCCAACCAATGGAACTACACAGCCAGGGCAGGACCAGTCCTCCCTTTGACAGACCTGCTGATTCTCCATGAAGGTGGGCAGTGTCTTCAAGTTTAGATTGTTGACTCATCTTCAGTGGGGCCTCTGGGAGTCCTGGGTGTGAGTCCTGGGTGAGGTGTCCCCTTTCAGGGAGGGATGGTTTGCTCTGTCAGAAGCCCAGCAGTACTTTCATGACAGGGAGGGTAGTTCCTCTCAACCACGGGTTCGCCTAAGCCCCTCTACCTGTAGCCCAGTAAAGGCAGCCTCTGCTCATTGATGCTGTGGGTGATGGAGTTCTTGGCCCACTCACTCAGACCCAGGCTGGGATGGACCTGCTTTTTTTTATATCCCTGTCCTTCCTTTTCTTCTTCTTTTTTTTAATCTTCACCCAAGGATATTTTTACATTTATCTTCAACAGAGTAGGAGGGGGAGAGAGAAAGAGAGAGAAAAACATCGATGTGAAAGAGACACATTGATTGCTTGCCACCCGCATGACCCCAACTGGGAGGAGGACTAACCGCAATCTAGGTACATGCCCTTGGCTGGACTTGAACCTGGGGCTCTTTGGTTTGCAGGCCAACGCTCCAACTGCTGAGCCACCAGCCAGGGCGCTGTCCTTCCTTTTCTTAAAGGTGTCCCTTTAAGAGCACTGGTTTTAGGTGGAATCTCAGTTCTGCTCTCACCTTCATAACCCTGAGTGCCTTGGAAACCCATCAGGGCAGCACCTCGCTGGGCCCCAGGCCCCCGCCCCCAACCCCTCTGCTTTTATTTGCTGTTTCCCCGGGAATTTTCCTCCCTTACCTGCAGGCCACCTATGCATTTAATCAATGTAACTAAACACTTATTGCGTATTTCCTCATCTTTCTCCCAAACTGGATTGCCATCACTGGGGGGGGCAGTGGCTGGGTGTCTAAGAGGCACTGCCCCCAATCCAAGTCCAGGCAGCACTGGCTCATGTGATCAACACCCCAGGGCACAGTGATGGGCCTGTAGGCCCACCAGCCAGCCTGGGTCGATGAGCAATTGGCAAGCAGGGCTCAGAAATTCCACTCCAAGTCTCTTCACTTGTTACACATGGGAGGATGCCTCCATGTCTAAGATACACAACCCAGAAATCATCAAATGAGGGTTCAATAAATTTGGTCATATAAAAATATTTAATTTCTGCCTGGCCGGTGTGGCTCAGTGAATTGAGCATCGCCCGATGGTCCGAGAGATCCCAGTTCCATTCCCAGTCAGGGCACATGTCCGGGTTGCAGGACCGATTCCCAGTGGGGAGCATGCAGGAGGCGGCCAATCGATGTTCTCTCACATCGATGTTTCTAGATCTCTCTCTCCCTTCCTCTCTACTAAAAAATCAATGAAAAAAATATTTTATTTCTTTAAAAAATTTTTTCTTAGAATTTTATATTTTTTTAAACTTTTTTTTCCTTTATTGATTTTAGAGAGAGAGGAAGTGAGAGGAAAAGAGAGATAGAAACATTGATGAGAGAGAACATTGATTGGCCGCCTCCTGCATGCTCCCCACTGGGAATCGGTCTCACAACTTGGGCATGTGTCCTGACTGGGAATCGAACTGGCGATCTCTTGGTGCATGGGTTGATGCTCAACCACTGAGCCACACCAGCCAGACATAGAATTTTGTATTTTTAAATAAAAATTCATGACAGATCTTTACAAAATCGTCACATAGGAACACACCTTAAGATAATGTTACATGAACTTCTTGTTTTCTGAATGGATGTTGCCTTGCGATCTGGCCAGATGAAGGTTTTTCTGGTGTTTGGAGGGCTGCACCTCCTTTTTCCTCTGATTTGGACTTGCTCTGGAGAACAATCAGCCACCCAGCTTCTGTAAGAATAAGCATAGGAAATGATGCAAATAAACAAGGTGCCCCCCCCCCAAAAAAAAACTAAAAATAGAAAATTTATAC